GGGAATGGGGACGGGAATGAGGACGGGAATGGGGACGGGAACGGGAACGGGAATGGCAATGGGGACGGGGATGGGGACGGGGACGGGAACGGGGACAGTAATGGGAATGGGGATGGGGATGGGGACGGGAATGGGAATGTGAACGGGAATGGGGACGGGAACGGGGACAGGAACGGGAATGGGAATGGGGACAGGAATGGGAACGGGGACGGAAATGGAGACGGGAATGGAAATGGGAATGGCAGCAGGGCTGGGAATGGGATTGGGAATGGGAATGGGAATGGGAATGGGTACGGGGACGGGGATGGGAATGGGGATAGGAACAGGGGCGGGAATGGGAATGGGAATGGGAATGGGAACGGGAATGGGGCTGGGAATGGGAGTGGGATGGGAGAGGAACAGGAATGGGAGTGGGAACAGGGCTGGGATGGGAATGGGAATGGGGAATGGGAACGGGAATGTGGGAATGGTGATAGGAATGGTGATGGGAATGGGAGTGGGAATGGAAACAGAAATGGGAACGGGAATGGGAACGGGAATGGGAACGGGACTGGGCCAGGGATTGAGAGGAGACAGAGACTGGGGACATGATCAGGGACTGGGGAGCGATCAGGAGCAGGGCACGATCGGGAACGGGGCACGATCAGGAATGGGGCACAATCAGGGTCCAGGGCACGATCAGGGTCCAGGGCATGGCGGGGGCTGGTGCCAGCCTCCCCCGGCGCTGAGCGCTGCCCGCAGCCTGGCTGCCCGCCCTGCAGCTGCTGCGGCGCGGCTCCAAGGCGGTGACGCGGCACTGGAAGGCCATGCACTTCCAGCGGCAGAAGCTGCTGGCCCTGACCGAGTACCTGCCCCCGCGGCCCAGCCTGCCCCCGCGCTGCCAGCCCCCGCCCGCGCCCCTCGCGCCCCAGGTGAGCCCGGCACGGCCCGGGAACGTGGGACACGCGGCATCCGCAGGCCGGGACCCGGGGTGGGAGTGGGAAACGGCCGAGACGCCGTGTGCGGGATGGACAGGTCTGTGAGGGCACCTCGAGGTCCATGGGGTCATCTCATGATCAATGGGATCACCTCGAGGTCCATGAGAGCACCTCGAGGTCCATGGGAACACCTCGAGATCCATGGGAACACCTCGAGGTCCATGAGAGCACCTCGAGATCCATGGGAGGGAACACCTCGAGATCCATGAGAGCACCTCGAGGTCAATGAGAGCACCTCGAGATCCATGGGAACACCTTGAGGTCCATGAGAGCACCTCGAGATCCATTAGAGCACCTCGAGGTCCATGAGAGCACCTCGAGATCCATGGGAACACCTCAAGATCCATGGGAACACCTTGACATCTGTGAGGGCACCTTGAGATCCATGGGAACACTTGCAAGATCCATGGGAGCATGGCTGTCCCTCAGTCCCCATACCCCACATTCCCTGTCCCCAAATCCCGCACTCCCTGTCCCCAGGAGGACAGCTCCCTGCAGGTGCTGTGACCCCAGGGCTGTCCCTGTCCCCAAACCCCACATGTGGGTGTCCCCAGGGGTCCCGCCTTGTCCCCAAACCCTGTGTCCCCCATCCCCTGTCCCCAGGAGGAGGGCTACGCGCGGGTGCTGCGCGGCCAGCTGCAGGACACGCTGCGGGCCAGCCGCATGGTGGCCGTGTGCCACTACAACTCCATGGCGGAGGAGGACGTGGCCACGCTGCGCCACTTCCTGCGCAGGCACGGCATCCACCTCAAGTTCGTGCTCAACGAGGTGGGGCTCAGCCCCTCGCAGGGGCTCGAGGGGTTCCAGGGGTATCCCGGGGGTTCTGGGGTGTCCTGGGGGAATCATGGGGGTTCTGGGGTGTCCTGGGGGTGTCCTGGGGGTTCCAGGGCTATCCTGGGGGTTCCAGGGGTATCCCGGGGGTTCTGAGGTGTCCTGGGGGTTCTGGGGTGTCCTGGGGGTGTCCTGGGGGTTCTGGGGTATCCTGGGACTATCCTGGGGGTTCTGGGGTGTCCTGGGGGTTCCAGGGCTATCCTGAGGGTTCTGGGGTGTCTGGGGGTATCCCAAGGGTTCTGGGGTGTCCTGGGGTTATCCTGGGGGTTCGAGGGCTATCCCGGGGGTTCCAGGGGTATCCCGTGGGTTCTGGGGTATCCTGGGGTGTCCTGGGTGTCCCAGGGGTATCCCAGTGGTTCTGGGGATATCCCAGGGGTATCCTGGTGGTTCTGGGACTATCCCAGTGCTTCCAGGGGGTATCCCTGGGTATGGTGATGGTTCCAGGGGTATCCCAGGGGTTCTGGGAGTATCCTCGTGGGTTCATGGGTGTCCCGGTGGTATTGGGGTGTCCCGGTGGTTCCGGGGATATCCCAGGGGTATTCCGGGGGTTCCAGGGGTATCCCAGGGGTTCCGAGGTGTCCTGGTGGCTCTGGGGTATCCCAGTGGCTCCGGGGTGTCCCAGTGGCTCCGGGGTGTTCTGGTGGCTCCGGGGTGTTCTGGTGGTTCCAGGGTGTCCCGGTGAGGGTTATCCCGGTGGCTCCGGGGTGTCCCGGTGCCCCGGTGCTCATCCCGGGCTGTCTCCCAGGTTGCCCGGCCGGTGCTGGCACAGTCCAAGCTCCGGAATCTGCTGCCGCTGTTCGTGTGCCGGAACGTCCTGCTGGTGAGCCCGGAGCCGCGGGCCAGGGAGATGCTGCGGGTGCTCAAGGGGGTGCCACAGGTCATCCTGCTGGGTGAGACCCCGAATCCGGGCTGGGGTTAGCTGGGGATGGGAATGGGGCATGGGATGGGAATGGGGTGCCACAGGTCATCCTGCTGGGTGAGACCCCAAATCCGGGCTGGGGTTAGCTGGGGATGGGAGTGGGGCATGGAATGGGAATGGGGTGCCACAGGTCATCCTGCTGGGTGAGACCCCAAATCCGGGCTGGGGTTAGCTGGGGATGGGAATGGGGCATGGGATGGGAATGGGGACATGGGATGGGAATAGGGGCCCAGAGTTGGGAATGAGGGCATGGGGTGGGAATGGGGGCCCAGAGTTGGGAATGGGGGCATGGGGTGGGAATGGGGGCCCAGAGTTGGGAATGGGGGCCCAGGGCTTCGGAAACTCATCCAGGACTGGGATTGAGGGCCTAGGGATGGGAATGGGGACCCAGAGCTCGGGAGGCTCATCCAGGGTTGGGAATGCTAGGCCAGGCCTGGGAATGAGGCCCCCTGATGGGGCTGCATCCATGCAAACGAGGGGTGGGCAGCCTGCAGGAGCCAGGAATCCCTTCCCAAAAAGCTCTGGAATTCCATGCCCATCCAGCAAGGGGTGGGCAGCCTGCAGGAGCCAGCAATCCCTCCCCAGAGGTCTCTGGAATTCCATGCCCATCCCAAGCTCCCTCTTGGCAGGCGCCTGCATCGACGACACGATCCTGAGCCGCCAGGGCGTGGAGAACTTCGCCCGGCTGCCGTCCCTGGAGGTGTCCCGGGGGCAGACGGTGGCAGCCCTGTCCCAGCTGTGCTCCCAGACCTCCTCCCTGCTCCAGCGGGGCCCTGCCCGCCTCACGGCGCTCCTGGACGAGCACGTCCGGCGCCTGCGGGACGCGGCGGCGGCCGCGGGGCCTCCCCCGGGCCGGAGCGCTGCGGGGAGCTGACGCTGGACACCGGGAACCGCTTCCTCCCTGGCTCTGGGACACGGGGAGCCCCCCCAGATGAGGGGTTCAAGGATCATGGACACAATTCCCATGGAATTCTCCAGCTCCGCAGAGGGGTGTCAGGGACTGGTGGTTTGACACGGAGGGTCTTGTGGCCCCCCCCAGTCCCAGCAGGGAGTGGTGGCCATTCCCTTGTGCTCCTTTGGGATCATCCCAGCAGAGATTGGGGATCTCTGGGATCAGCCAGAGCAGGAGGAGGAGCACGGGATGGAGCCTCCAGGGGGGATTTTGGGCACTCCAAGCCCCGTGCCTTGGGAATGGGGGTGTGCTGTAACACTGATCCCACCCCGGGATCGCTGTCCCGTCCATTAAAGTGTCTGCGTGGAGATGCCGAGGCCTCGTCTGGGATTTTGGGGGGTGGGTTGGGGGTGTTCCTGCCCCCCGGTGTGGGGGGAGAGGCCAGGGCTGCTCTGAGGGAGCAGAGCTGGGGGTGGGAGAGGGAAATGCCAGGCTGGGAATGCCCCGGGACCACCTTGGGGGGTGGTCCCTGACACCCCCGTGGGTCGGTGATTCCCAGGGCTTCCATGGAGTGGTGAGTCCAGGGACCCCCGTGAGATGATGGTTCCCGGGATGCCGGTGGGTCAGGGGTCCCTGAGACCCTCGGGGGCTGGCAGTCCCCAAGCTATCCATGGGATGATGCTGCTGAGACCCTCAGACATCCATCCCGAGACCCCCGCGGGTCGGTGATTCCCGGGATCCTCAGGGGTCGGTGATTACCGGGATCCTCAGGGATCGGTGATTACCGGGATCCTCAGGGGTCGGTGATCCCCGAGACCCCCGCCGGTCGGTGATTCCCGGGATCCTCAGGGGTCGGTGATTACCGGGATCCTCAGGGATCGGTGATTACCGGGATCCTCAGGGGTCGGTGATTCCCGGGACCCCCGTGCGGCGCTGCCTCTCGCGGGGGTCTCCCCACCCCTTTCCCCGGGGCTGCCCCGGTTCCATGTGGGCACTCGGGCGCTGCCCGCTCCCGGTGTCCCGCGGCTCCCGGTGTCCCGGCGGCTCCCGGTGTCCCGCGGCTCCCGGTGTCCCGCGGCTCCCGGTGTCCCGCGGCTCCCGGTGTCCCGGCGGCTCCCGGCGCTGGCGGCTCCGGTCCTCCACGGAGCAGGGGGCAGAGCCGAGCGGCTCCGGACCGCCCTCCGTGTTCCGCTTCCTGCCGCCGCCGCCGCCGGGCAGGATGCGACCGGCTCCCGCCGCCCGCCCGCCGCCCGCCCAGGTGAGCCCCGGCGACCGGCACGGGGGGGAGGTCCGGCCGGCCCCGCGACCCCCGGCCCCCGCTGCCCCGGGGGGTGACACCGCCGCGGGGACACGGGGATGGGCTTTGCCCCGCGGGAGGGACGGAGACTCCCGGTTGTACCGGCACAGCCCCGCTCCGCTGCGAGGGGTCGGTGCCGATCCGCGGCAGCGCCTGCGGGAGAGAGCCGGGACACCCCCGGTGCCCTCCCCTCGGCGCCGCCGTTACCGGTGCCGGGTTATCCATGGCAGCGGGCTTATCTGCCCGGTGCCGCGGGGACCGGTGCCGCGGTTACCGGCGCGGTGGTCACCGGTGCCGGGGCTTGGCCGCTGTCCCGGGGTTATCCCGGGATCCATCCTACGGCAGCGGCCGGGACTCACGGCTGCCCCACCAGGGACAGCGCCAGGGGGGACGGCAAGGCCGGGAGAAGCTTCCCCGTGCCTCAGTTTCCCCTCGGGAAGGGCAAAGGGAGCAAACGCCGCGCCGGGAGGGCGCGGGGCTGTGGAGGGGCCGCGTCCTGGCTCGGGGCTGCGGGCCGGAGCAGGGTTTAATCCCGGTCCTTGTCCCGGTGCCACCCTCCCGGCCGTGCCGCGCTTGCCCCGCGGTAGCCGGTGCGCGGGGCGGCGGGGCCGGACTCTGGACCCGGACTGGGTGGCACAGCCGAGATAGCGCGGGCAGGGTCAAAGGCTCCGGCTGACGCAGAAGTTTCTCGGTGCCGCCGGCGGTGCCGTGCGGAGCCCCCCGGGAGCTGGGGACCACCCCTGCCAGCCCCCCGGTCCCGGCGAGGCTGCGGCCGCCACCCCTGAGCTCCCCGACCCCTCCCCGCAGCGGCTCCCGCCGTGACAACCGAATTCGGACCCCCGGCCCCGCAGTCCGCGCGGGAGGGGGGGCTCGGCCCGGTGCCCCCTGCCCCCTCTGCCCTCCGGCCATGGGCAGCCACGAGAAGGACCCGTGCTCTCCGAAAAGGGCCCTGTCCCGCTCCAGCAGCACCGTGTCTTCCAAGCACAGCAGCGTCCAGCAGGTTGGAGGGGTTGCATTTGGATTTGGGGGGCTCAGAAGGAGCACGGGGAGGCTTCGGGGGCTTCCCCCTGCTTTACGATGATGCCCTTGTGGGTACCAAATGTCCCTGCCCCGGGACAAGGTGGGCAGCAGCCTCTGGTGCTCAGGGACCCCCACGCTGAGCCCCGTCCCCGCAGGGCTCGGAGAGCTGGGAGGTGGTGGAGGAGCCCCGTGCCCGGGGCAGCCCCGGGCAGCAGCCGCAGCGGCACGAGGGGTACCTGCTCAAGAAGAGGAAATGGCCCCTGAAGGGCTGGCACAAGGTAACGGGCAGAGCTGGCGCCAGGAGCCGTGATCCCGGCTGGTCCTGGCGGGATTTGGGCAGGGGGTGCTGGCTGTAGCAGCTGCTGTCTGCACCCCCTCCCAAAAAAATCTTTTCCCCTCCATCCCCAGCGGTACTTCGTGCTGGAAAACGGGATTCTGAAATATTCCACCACGCGCCAGGACGTGAGTGTGTGCCCAGGCTGCGGCCACGCAGCCTCCTGGGGGGCTCAGGGCTGGGGACACCCCCGTGGCCCCCCTGAAAAAGGGGGGTCTTCCCCCTGACAGGCGTCCCTGGGCTCCCCCAGGTCCTCAAGGGCAAACTGCACGGTGCCATCGACGTCCGGCAGTCCGTCATGTCCGTCAACAAGAAGGCGCAGAGGGTTGACCTGGACACAGAGGACAACATTTATCACCTCAAGGTGCCGCTGGGGCTCTGGAGCTGGGCTGGCACAGGGCTGGGGACATCAGGTCGTGTCCCCTGCAACTCGGCCCTGTCCCCCAGATCAAGTCCCCGGAGGCGTTCTCCAGCTGGGTGAGCAGCCTGTGCGCCCACCACCGTGGCGAGCGGCCGGAGCCGTGTCCCCCCGGGGGTCCCACGGGGACCAGCACGCAGGTGGGTGGCAGCTCGGGGTGACAACGCCTGGGCGAGTGTCTCCTGACAGCGACTGATGCCCTCTGTGCCCGGCTGCAGGGCCAGTGGACGCGGATCCTGCCCTCGGGCAGTGCCCCTGCCCTGTCCACGCTGGCCAGCTCCCGGGACAAGGTGAACGCCTGGCTGAAGGACAGCGAGGGGCTGGAGCGCTGCTCTGCCGGTGAGCGGGGCCCGAGGGGGTGTGCGGGGCCGGGCAGGGTCCCCGTGCCCCTCCCTGACCTCTGTGCCCCTGGCAGAGCTGTCGGAGTGCCAGGCCAAGCTGCAGGAGCTGACGGGAATGCTCCAACACCTGGAGGCCCTGCACCGCATCCCCTCGGCCCCGCTCATCTCCGGCAGCCAGGTGAGAGGCTCAGCCAGCTGAGGGAGGGGGTCCCGTGTCCCCCCTTCCTGGCGAGGGTCCGGCTGCAGCCCCCTCCTCTCCCTGCCAGCCCTCGGCCGCCACGGAGAGGCCGAAGAAGGGCCGGAGGAGCACCAAGATCTGGTGCACGCAGAGCTTCGCCAAGGACGACACCATCGGCAGGGTGAGGGTGAGCTGGAGCCCCCACCCCGAGCTCGGCCACTGCCTGGGGGCACGGAGCCCCCCAGGTGACCCCGCCGAGCCCCGTGTCCCCCCAGGTGGGCCGCCTGCACGGCTCCGTCCCCAACCTGTCCCGCTACCTGGAGTCGTCGCAGAGCCAGCTGCCCTTCAGCGTCCCCCCGGAGTACAGCCAGCTGCAGCGCAGCTTCTGGGTCCTGGCCCAGAAAGGTGGTTCGGGGCGGGCTCCCGGGGCGGGTTTTGGGGTGCCGACCCTCAGGCTGACTCCCGGCCGTGTCCCCCGGCAGTGCACGGCTCGCTGAGCAGCGTGGTGGCCGCGCTGGTGGCCGAGAGGGCCCGTCTGGAGGAGATGCGGCAGGCGCTGCACCGCCAGGGCCCGGCCCCGCGCCCCGGCAGCGCCGGCACCGCCGGGGTGAGGGAGCGCGGGGGACCTCGGGTGCTGCTTCTGGGGTCTCAGCGGGGTGCTGGGTGTCCCCCGGCCCTGTCAGCCTGTCCCTGGCTGCAGGGGACCGGCCGGGGGGGCTCGGCTCAGCCTCGCCCTTCCCGCAGCCCGCCCTGCGCCGCTTCCACTCGCTGTCGGCGTCCTCCGACACCACCCTGGACTCCTTTGCCTCGCTGCACCCGGATGAGGTCAGGGGGGTGGCGTGGGGCGCTCTGGGGGTGCTGTGGCCCCCCTGGCGTGGGGGCTGAGCCGGTGCTGTCCCCGCAGCCGGACGCGCTGCCCGCCAAGGGCCGGGAGCAGCAGCTCTCCAACCGCAGCATCGTCTCGCTGGCCGACTCGCACACCGAGTTCTTCGATGCCTGCGAGGTTTTCCTCTCCGCCAGCTCCTCCGAGAACGAGGTGAGGGGGCTTAGGGGGTCTTTGCTGGGGAGGAGGCTCTGTTGGTGGGGAACTCTGCTGGGGAGGGGGCTCTGTTGGTGGGGAACTCTGCTGGGGAGGGGGCTCTGTTGGTGGTGGGGGGCTCTGCGGAGCCCCCGTCACTCCTCGCTGCTCTGGGTTCATC